TATACTTAGTAAGAACGGTTACCTTATCCGCAGGATCTTTTCCTTCAACAACACTGCTTTCAGCATCAGTTCCCTTATTTTGCTCTTTCTCCTTTTCCTGCGGTTTTTCGTCTTCCCCAGAGTCTGGTTCCTTTTTCTTTTCCTTCTTCCTTTCTCTTAGTTCTAGCAAATCAATGTTTTGATTATTCTACACTGATTTTCACAAGCATGGAAAAGATTAAAACATACCCTTTTCTGAAACAGGAACTTTTCTGGCACGATGATAAAATTTATGCTCCAGCATCACATGTAGATAATCAACAATTTCGTCTCGGGTAACAAAAAGGGGACTGTCACCCGCAGTAAATTTTGATTCCAATAGCGCATCAACCGCACGCTTTCCTGAAATTAATGAAAATATACAGATATGTGAAACGTTAATGTTCATATAATAAATATTAAAACGCTGGCTACGTTCTTTTTAGCAAAATCTTTATTTTTGTAAACACTATGTTCTTTTAAGTTATATGCAACTTTTTTATGATTAATTTGAAGATATACTAAGAATAATAATTTTTTTTACTAAGCAGTTTTGAATGATCTAAAACCTAAAATGCAACCAACAACATTTTTTCAGTTTTCTGCTTCAAGAAACCTAATTAGAAATAGGAATTGAATTGAGAAAACGGAATTTAATTAGAAATAATCTAAACGGAAATTGGTTAAGCGGATCTGTCAGACCAATACTTTGATAATAATATGAATCATTTTTACAATATTCAAATTAAAAAACTGAAAGATTACCATGTATTTCATAAACAAATTTTTTTGTTTCAGTTTATTTAAAAAATTGACAAAATTAATAATTATTTAGAATGAAAAAATGTTGAAACAAGTAGTTTAGACTAGATAGTAAAATTCAGGGTAGAAGGATGTAATTGCATATTCGGATGTCTTTTTCAATTCTGACCAACTAGGTATATCGATTTTCCATATTGTCCAATAAAGCTACATTACTCTTGAGCCAAATTAATATTTTTTGAGAAACCATTTTCAACAACAAAAAAATAATTTCTAAACTTTTCACGAGACATGACTATATTCCTGAAAATTAATAGTTACTTAAGTTTTCTTTATGAATATGTAGAGGGTAGAGTATAGTTTTCACGTAAGTATATATCAGGATTTATTCTCGTTTTGTGGTTTGTCAAATGGGCTTTTAAGTTTCGACGATCTCATAGAAAAATAAGCTCGAAATGAGAGACATAAAAAATCAAATATCTGATTATTCTCAAAAAGGAAATGTTAATTTTGTTCTTGTTTCTCGTCTTAGGAATCTACAAGTTCTATACTTGTGGTCATAGTTAAAAAGGTTTAAAAATGTTAATAAAAAAATGGAAGATGTTTTAGAATTAACGATTGTTAATTCTAAAAAACGTTAACACGAAAACAACCAGCAGTGGCACTGGAAAACAGTGCATCAATTCAAAGTGTGAACATCAATCTTATGAAGAATATAAAGGTTTGCAATTAACGTAACATTAACTAACAAATCAATGTAACTAACGAAATACTAGTATAGTTATACCCGCATAGTACTATCTACAGATAAAGTAATATATTTGTGAAATTCGATAAACTGTCTCGTTGCAGAAAGCGATTATATACTATGTCTAATAAAATCAATACATGTTAATGTAATCGGAGAAACAATTTAAAATAGCTTTATACACAATACATAGATCGACGGGGATTTATTTACATCTACGTGTTTCTTAACAACTGGCCAGTCAAATAACGTTTGAAAACTATAATAATTATATGTGCGCTGGTTAAAAATTAGTGTGAAAAACTGTCGTCGGAGGTTATTTAAGGAGTACAGAAAAAAATGTTAAAAATTAATTTTTATTTTTTTATTAATGATAGAAAATCGTCAACAACTAAATTACGGATAAATTATGGAGTCATAATTTGAAACCACAAAACTATTAAATGCACATTTTCCTTCGATTATTGGGTTTATTTAACTATAATAAAGTACTTAAGTACTGAATAGTAAGTATGAACGGTTGGATATTTATCAGAAAATAATCGTCTCAGTCATCAGCTAAATCGTCTTATCTTGGCGCAGAATGTGTGGTAGAAGAGTACAAAGCCTTTTAAGAACACTTACAAATTAAAAAAGCCGAAATTCACAAAATGTCGACGGTCGACTGTCGCTATAATTTATTTCACTGAAAAAAATTATAGCGACAGTCTATTATTGGCATCTGCTAGAGCAAAGCGATTGTAAATATTGTTTTTACTTTTAACAGAACAGATAAACGCAACATATGTATAAGGAAAAGTAATTATAATTTCCTGTTGATATAAAATTTCCATATAAAGCTAATTTGAGTATTTAACAGATGCAAAAATCTATATAGTTTTAGTCTGTGAAACAATCAGCTTTTTCGATTGATGATGAAATGATGTGCAAGGTACAGACATTTTTTAAACAGCACAGATATCTCAACAAATAGTTCGAATAACGCGGTAGACAATAATAAACATCCTTTTCGCACACTTTCGGGTCTCATAGCGAGCATACCAAATGTACTACTGCACATATTTTGTAGAAAAAACCATTGGCAATTTTATTCAACTGAATTTCCCTACCTGTAAAGTACTCCACATTATGATTCATGAATTTAGTCCTTTTAATAGGGACATTTTTTCTCAGCCATTTCCCAACATTGTACTCCTCTTTGCTGGGTTTATTTGGGACTTCCTCTCCAGGAGGTGTGTATTCCTGTATTTGAAAAAAGTTCCTATTAATATGCTTCTAATTTAGGAGATGATTCAGTTCTGCCTGCCTGGCCGTTAATTACATTTAGTAACACTAAAATAATGCAGTTAGATTGAAGACAGGGGATGACTTGAAGAAGTGGGTCTGTTGATTTTAATAAGGAGTGACACGCATTGCCAAGTAAAATAATTGTTAAACCTGTATTTTTTATCATACGTGCAATTATTAGTATGCTCAAACAATACAAAAGCCAATGTAAATCATAAAAGTTTGCAAACAGAAACTACGTAAAAAAGAAATTGTTTGAAACGTCATAACTATTATTTAAATTCAATAACATATTTAGCAAAAAAAGTGAAGAATTTCTCCCATTTTAAAGACCATTCAGTAGCTGGCCGAGAACATTATAATGTAAAGTTGATAGGAATAAACAAAACATGAAAATAATACTAAGAATAATTAAAAACTTACATCTTTTCGCTTCTTGCCTCTCTTCTTATCCGCCATTGCGACAATACTGAGAGTGGAACGTCAATCAAGCAGGGTCCCGCTTGTTAAACGAATTGTACTAAAATGTAGCCTATTTGTTCGAATATATACAGGGAGTAACAAGTTAATTGGGTTCTAATGTGGAAATAATCTTGAATATGCAAAAGGCAACTTCAAAAGCCAAAGAATTTCATAGATTTGTAGACAATTATTTACATTATTATTGCATTATTTTCTACTAATTATTTTTACATTTTTTATTTTACATTATTAACATTTTTGCCTAAGTTTATTAAAACTGGATGCTAGGGAGGTGGCCAAAATTCAAACCATAATACTGTCCTATTTTCTTTAATAAATTATATCCAACCAGAGACAAGTAGTCTCTGTTCCAACCATTTTCTATAAAGGGTTATTCACGCTATACGGCACAGATGTTTGCGGCTAGCCCGTTTGTTTTTTGCAAACTATTATTTGATGAATCCACAGATGCCTATCGGGTGCACATTTTAAAAATATTTTTGTAATGTACAGAGTGTCCCAAGAGCCCTAAAAGTATCAAA